CACCACAGGCAATTGTTCTATGGGTTTCATATGATTAAAACATATATATGGATGTATGTGTATGTATATTTTTTTGATTTATGAATGTTCCTATAAAATTTAAAGTGATTTAGGGGATATGTATCATTAGTTTACATTAATGTTAACTGTGCTATATATTTTGTTCCTTGTCTTAGTTTTTCTACTTCTGTTTATGTTGCAATGTTTTCATCTAGTTGATTTCCTCTGTTGCATTGTATCCCAGAATGTTTCCTATTACCACCAGTACCACCCTTCTCCAATGACTCACCCTCACCCATTTCTCTATTTTCAGCCTGGATGAGCCATATGTACCCTTTCCTCTGGCCTTTGCTAGTAGTTCTCTTAGATAAAATCATCTCTTCTTTCTCCTTTGAGAAGAGGAATTTGGGTTTGAAACCCAACAGCAGGGAATTTGTGTAAAAGCTTCTTTCCACATTGAGAGGGAAGGTAACAATACAAATGAGGTTTCATTGTATTTCATTCTAGAAGAATTGCAGCAGATAGGTGACCAGATAGAGAACTATCAGGAAAAAGAAAAGAAATCTTTAAGTCGTATTGTTTTCACGAAGATCTTGAACATAGGGAGGGATTATGAACATAAGGACATTAGGAAAATAATTCATGTGAGCCCAAACCTTATTCCTTCCCAAGAAAGCACCTATCAACATGACTCATTTGGAAATGATTTGAAACATAGATTTACACAGTCATAATAGAAACAACGCATCAAAGAACGTTAATAAGATTGTTGAATATGGTAAAATTTCTTCCAATGCTGGTCATGAAAATACTCCAACAGGAGAGAAATTATGGTACCAAAATTAGTGTGGAAAAATATTCAGCTATCAACAAGCACCTTCTCAACATCAGAAAATTCATACTGAGGAGAAACCCTATGAATGTGCTGTATTTGGAAAGGTCTTCACTCAGAAGTTGCATTTCAAGTTACCTCTGACATTTCATACAGGAGAAAAACTCTATATATGTATTGAATGTGGGAAGGCTTTTGTACAGAAGCCATAATTAATTACATACCAGAAAACTCAAACTAGAGAGAAGGCCTTTAAATGCAATGAATGCGGAAAAGCCTTTTTCCAATTATCAGAGAATTCATACTGGAGAAAAATTCTATGAATGCAATGAATGTGGGAAAGGCTTCTCTTATAATTCAGATCTCAGCATACATTGGAAAATTCATCCTGGAGACACCATGACTGCAGTGATTGTGGCAAAGCATTCGTGTAAAAGTCCACTCTTAAGATGCATCGGAAAATTCATACAGGAGAGAGATCCTATAAATGTATTGAATGTGGACAAGTCTTCATCCAGAAGACACACTTGACTGCACACCGAAGAATTCATACTGGAGAAAAACCATATATATGCAATCACTGTGGGAAATCCTTCACTTCCAAATCAGAACTCCAGATACATCAACGAATTCACACAAGAATAAAGCCCTATATATCTACTAACTATGGGAAGGTCTTCAACAGTAATTCCAAACTCATTACACATAAGAAAGCACAAATTAGAGAGAGATCTTCTATCTGTACTGAATGTGGGAAGGCCTTTATCTACAGGTCAGAGTTAATTACACATCAGAGAATTCACACTGGAGAGAAACCTTATGAATGCACAGAATGTGGGAAGGCCTTCACCAATAGGTCAAATCTCATTACACATCAGAAAACTCATACAGGAGAGAAATCTTATATATGTCCCAAATGTGGAAAGGCCTTCACTCAACAATCAGACTTGATTACACATCAGAGAATTTACACTGGAGGGAAACCTTATGACTGCAGTGTGTGTGGAAACCTTCACCCAGAAGTCACACCTCAGTATGCACCAGAAAATTCACACTGGAGAGAGACAATATGAATGCCATGAATGCGGGAAAGCCTTCAATCAGAAATCAGTACTCATTGTGCATCAGAAAATTCATACTGGAGAGAAACCCTATGTATGCACTGAATGTGGAAAAGCCTTCATCAGGAAGTCAAACTTCATTACCCATCAGAGAATCCATACTGGAGAGAAACCTTATGAATGTAGTGATTGTGGGAAATCCTTCACTTCAAAGTCTCAGCTCCAAGTGCATCAACAAATTCACACAGGAGAGAAACCCTATGTTTTTATTGAGTGTGGGAAAGCCTTTAGTGGCAGGTCAAATCTCAGTAAACACCAGAAAACTCACACTGGAGAAAAGCCCTATGTCTGTTCTGAATGTGGGAAGAACTTCAGACAGAAGTCAGAATTGATTACACATCGGAGAATTCATACTGGAGAAAAACCTTATGAATGCAGTGACTGTGGGAAATCTTTTATTTCAAGAAATCACAGCTCCAAGTCCATCAGTGAATTCACACAGGAGAGAAGCCTTATGTGTGTACTGAGTGTGGGAAGGCCTTCACTGACAGGTCAAATTTGAATAAATACAAGATAACGCACACTGGAGACAAACCCTTTTAAGTGTGTCATCTTTGGGAAAGGCTTCATTTGGAAATCTGTGCTCAACATGTATCAGAGTATTCATACTTGAGAGAAACTAAAAAAACTGAGGTCAGGTTTGATTGTACACTGTTGAAATCATGCAGCAGAAAAGTATGTATATTATTGTAGGTAGAGATACTTTTGTCAGGATGTCACATATGACTGTTCAGAAGAGGGCCTCTGAGAGGGCACTGAATGAGGGGGAATCTTCCTACATTGTCACCAGCCTCATTAAATCTTGACGCAGTCATCCTGGGAAGGAATTGAAAAATATGGTAGAACACTATTATCAAATTCTTTATAGAAAAGATGATATTAAATCATTTTAATGATAATACTGTTTATTCTAGAGTGGGTACAATGCCAACAAGTCGAATGGTAGAACAATATAATATATACAATAGGGATAAACTCTTAAGTTCTTTGGTGTATGTTGCAGAACATATTGTCTACCAGAGTTGTGTGTTTTCATTCTTCTGTTAAATCTAACACAGTTATGTGTATGTATCCAATCCTCCAATGAGTATTTTTATCGATACCACAATGAATGAAAAAATTCTTCATGTATACAGATACAACCCTCACAGTGTCTGATGACCCCAACTAGCTCCTAACACCATGACTTGTAATCCCCCTCATTACCCACCAGTTGGGTGTGTTGGACCTACCTGAGCCCTCAGCACATTTTCTTCTGACGCTCAATCCTTCTGATGCCCGATTCTTCTGAAGCACAGTTTCTTTTTCTTGTGACAATGCCTGATGACTGCCCATCAATGCTAAACACCATGTTTGCTGACTGCTGTTATCTCCCAGATAGTGTCTACTGACACTCATTTAGCCCACAGCATAGTCTCTTGTGAACTACTACACTCAGGAGAGCTTCAGCGATAAAAGTATTTTCAGGTCATCTGGGTCAACTGTTTATCCCAGTCCCCCTTCTGCTGTCACAGTTCTCCCAACTCATTCTCCTTCCTTAAAGGCCTGACCTTCATAATAAAGATAAAAAACCAGTAACTTATAACAAACCCCAATATATGTTGTGGCCATCTTCATGCCATGCACTCTGCAAGGACCATCTCCATGTGCCTCACACGTCAGTTCAGGTCCCACCTCAGGGCTTTTGCATTTGCAGTGTCCTCTATTATATCTGAGTGGTTTCCTCCCTTACGTGTTTACTCCAGTGTTACCTTCTTAAAGAGGTCTTGCTGCCCTTCCCTGCCTGCCTGGTTTAAAACTCCAATCATCCATGCACCTTCGCTCCTTTATCTTTCTACATAGTACTGCCATGATGTACTGCTTTGTGTCTCCCCTACTAGAACGTTTTATCTGTTTTGTTCACTGCTATGATCCTAGACCCATGCCTGACATACAGCAGGCACTTCATAAATGCATGTTGTGGAGTGTTGACCCCTACTCATCCTATGACCTTCCTCTGATTTTTCTATATTCAGCATAAAGACTCCAGTGGAAACAACCAACTTGCCTAAACCATACCAGGCTTTTTCACCTCCACCCTTTACCTGGGCTGTGCCCCCTTCGTATCCCTAAAGTTGAAGAGTTGTAAAAAAAAGTTTGACCTGATGCCAACCCATTTAAAGAAGGGAAAACAGAGCACAGGAAATCCCAAGTGGATGCTTAGTGTTCCAGTATTCTCCATCAGGATTCCCAAATCCCACAGTCAGCTCCAAAGTGATTGGAAAAAAAGCCTGCTCACTCTGCCCCTGCATGCACAGATTGAGCTTTACCTACCCCAGAACCTCATCCTGCCTTGACTTACGTACCCTTGGAGCCAGAGAGCAGACAAGGGTGGGCCTTCCTCAGAAGTTAGGAGGTTGGCTCAAGACTGGAGTGGCAGCAGCCTCAAGAGATGCAGACAGCATCTGGGCAGCTGTACCAGAACAATGATGTATCCCTAGGCCAGTTTATGGGCAATGCCAGGAGTGGGATACAGGCATGCAGGATGTGCAGAGATGGTCTTCCCTTTGCTATCAACAGAAAAACAAGGTAGGTAGCTGGAGGAAAGCTACTGCTATCCCAGCATGAGATTTGCTTCCCACCGTCTTTATATGACTACTTAATTGTACTAATTAAAGTATGCAGTACAGGGGAGGTAGTTTCTAGCTGATTTTTAACCCATTATATCATTAATCAGGAACTGCAGGCTTACAAAATTAATCTTATAGCTGGGAGATGGGAGGGAGTGTTCTTGTCATGCACTCACGTTATCTTCTTTGAGTCTGAACAAAGACTCAGCAAGATGGTAACAGGATGGTCAGACCAGGTGCTGCTGAACAAAGGTCCCTTCTTACTCCCTTTCCCTGTTCCTATACATTCTAAGGTAAGCCCCTAGACCCCTTTGCCTCATGGTCTTTCACCTGTGTTGTATCTTGGGGCCTTAACGTGTGCAGAAGAGATATCCTGTGACAACTCACCCTGGGGTCTGAGGTAGACCGACCCCAAAAAGAATCTTACCTATCATTTGCATCCTAACCACTATGTAAGTAAGTAAAAACTTGTAATCTCACCACTGGGTGTCATGGATTGAATTATGTCCCCCCAAAAATGTGTGTGTCAGTTTGGCTGGGCCATGATTTCAGGTATTGTGTGATTTTCCTGTACGTTGTAAATCCTGTCTCTGTGATGTTAATGAGGGAGGATGGGCCGCAGTTGTGTTAGTGAGGCAGGACTCAATCTACAAGATTGGATTGTGTCCTGAGGCAATCTCTTGAGATATAAAAGAGAGAAGTGAGCAGAGAGACATGGGGAACCTCATACCACCAAGAAAACAGTGCCGGGAGCAGAACACATCCTTTGG